GTCTCGCGCCCAGCAGCAGGACCAAGCTAGTCTCGCGCCCGAAGCTGTAGGACAAATCGATGGACTTGTGTGCCCCGGGATCCGATCGTCTCTTCCGTTGGGGTAGCGGACGGGTGTCGGTTGTGGTAGTTCCTAGGTCTTGGATTCCGGGGCGGCGGCCCTAGTGGTGGTTGCGCGGTGCTCATGGGCAGAGCCCGTCGCTTGGTGCTGCCCGGTGGCCATGGCTGTGTGGGCGGCGTGGTTGTCGGGGTGCGGCGTTCGATGGCAGTGAGTATTGGCCGGGGTGAAAACTTGCTCTTTCTTCGGACAGACCGGCGGCGGCGTATCTCGTTCCCTTCTTGAAGGCGTCGTCGCGGCTCTCATTGTCTGTCGTGTGGCTCCGGGGGAAACCTTGATCCTCGGATCAGGCGGTGGTAACGCTACCGTGTCGTTCCCTTCCTGAAGGCACCCTCTTGGAGCCCACAGTTCGTTGTATGCGGTGGCATCTCTTCATGGTAGCGTGTTCACTGGTGGAGTCCCGGGTGCTCGAGTAGTGCTGGGGGTCGTGTTGCTACGCTCAGCGCCTATGTATCCCGCCTTGGGTGTGTGCATGTGTTGTGGTGGTGTGCGTCTGTACCTGGATGTTGTTGGTCATTGCTTTATTTATAAAGCGGGGCGAAAGCCTTTTTCGGTAATTCCATCATGCATCGGCTCACCGATTGTGCCTGATGATCATACATCATGTTTCTGATTTGGGCTAACACCAAAGCATTGAACATGTGAAATCATGAGTCCTTTTACGGTACATCAAAACAATTTGGGCTGTTTATTTTGGTGGTACAATCACTAGTAGAAAAAGGGTCAAACGTGAAGCACATTAGTGCCGATTTGAATTTGAGCCGGCACTAATTGTACCATTAGTGCCGGTTCGAACGGCTATGCATTAATGTCGGTTCGTGTTGAACCTTTAGTACTGGTTCGTGCCACAAACCGGTACTAAAGGGGTGATGGCAGGCTGGCGTCAGGCCGGGGCCCCACGATCACCTTTAGTACCGGTTCGTGTCATAAACCGGTACTAAAGGGCTAACCTTTAGTACCGGTTTGTGCCACCCTTTAGTACCGGTTTGTGACACAAACCGGTACTAAAGGGGTCTGAGCTATAGTACCGGTTTGTGACACAAACC